TATATAAGAATAAGCTTTTTACTTATAAAACACATATACATCGTTCTAAAAACCTTATATGATTTCTGTAAGCCGTTTTTATCAGATGTTTTATAATAATATACGATTTATTTAAATGTGTTTTATAAGTTAAATTGTAAGGCTTATGTAAATGTATATTTTTTATTTTTTAAAGCGTAATTGATTTATTAATTTATATTAAATTTAAGCTATAATTTTAAACCTTTGTTTTTAGAAAATATTAATATAATGTGTATTTTTTAAATATTATTTTGTTTTAATATAAGTATAATTTGTAACAATTTAAAAAAATTCTAAGATCTGGTGTTTTATCTATACTTCGGAATATTTTTAATATTAATTTTGTTTTAATATAAATATGATTGATATAGATTTAAAAGATTTCTAAAATTTGAGTTTTTACCTTTTATCATATTTTAGTAGATTTAGTTAGCTATTTTATTATATATATAAAAATATTAATAAATATATGCTATATATTACTTTTACAAAATGAATATATTGTATTATCCCTCCATATCAAAATTTATGTATTATGCATGCGTATACTCAATATTTTATCTAATGTATTCAAACTCTTAATGTCATATTTTCAAGTGTGTATTTTATTTTATTTATTTTATTTTTTCAGTAATTTTATTTTACCTATAGAAAAAAACAAAATTCTTATTTTGATACTTTATTTATTTTATGACGATATATCATACGATACATATTGATACTTAATTTATTTTTAAAAATATGATTTTAATTTTTTGGAAAATGTGTATTTTTAAAATATTATTTTGTTTTAATATAAGTATAATTTGTAACAATTTAAAAGATTTCTAAGATTTGGTGTTTTATCTATACTTCGGAATATTTTTAATATTAATTTTTTTAATATAAATATGATTGATATAGATTTAAAAGACTTCTAAAATTTGAGTTTTTACCTTTTATCATATTTTAGTAGATTTAGTTAGCTATATATTACTTTTACAAAATGAATATATTGTATTATCTCTCCATATCAAAATTTATGTATTATGCATGCGTATACTCAATATTTCATCTAAGGGAAATTGTTAATAATGCCACTTTTTCAATGCCACTTTTCAAAAATACCCCTTTTTTAAAACCTTATAAAAAATGCTCTTAAAAATATAAGATTTACCCAAATATGTATGTAATATTATTAAAACATACACAAACTACATTTCTATGTATCTAAAATCTTATAAATACTTTATAAATACCTTATAAATGCATTTTAAATACCTTTAAAAACCTTTAAAATATCTTGTAAAACCTTTGAAAAACCTTAAAAATCCTTTAAAATAACTTGTAAAACCTTTAAAAACACCTTATAAAACCTTATAAATACTTGGATCGAGTTTTCAAGTAGTAGTTACAATCCATAAGTACCTTATAAACCTAATAAAACTTTATAAAAATTTCAGATTTAAAAAGGGGCATTTTTGAAAATGGACATCTAAAAGGGGCATTTTTGAAAAGGGGCATGAGAAAAGGGGTATTTTTGCTAATCCCCCTTCATCTAATGTATTCAAACTCTTAATATCATATTTTTAAGTGTGTATTTTATTTTATTTATTTTATTTTTTCAGTAATTTTATTTTACCTATAGAAAAAACAAAATTCTTATTTTGATACTTTATTTATTTTATGACGATATATACGATACATATTGATACTTAATTTATTTTTAAAAATATGATTTTAATTTTTTGGAATTGGATTAATCATAAAATAAATGAAGTATCAAAATAAGAACATCAAAAGTCTTACGAAATTGGATCTTACTAAGTTTTGTGCTTTCACTTTGTAAAAACGAAAAGATAATGACCGAGAGTGTTGTTGTAGTAATTTAAATTGTAACACATTTTTTTTTCATCGATTCACTTTCGTTTTGATTTTCTTTAATATTTGAAATCAACAATTGGTTAAAATTAAAATATATAAAAGTTACAAATTAATTTGGAGGAATCGAAACAGATAAGACAATGAGACTGTGAAAACAAATCTAGAATATACAAATAGATGTTTATTTGGTTTTGTTTTTCTTTCAACAAAATTAAAAATATATATGTTATTATAAAAAAAATTGTAGTGTATATTGTTTAATTTAATTTGATTGGCTATAATTTTAATGAGGTATTTTTTTTAGTGAAAACCTGATGTGGCAAGATGGAGAGATGATGTGTATTAATTGAAATGTTTTGATTGGTTTGTCTTTTTAATGATGTGTCAGCTCCAGAATACACCAAATTGCTGATGTGTCAGATGCTGGAGAGTTCCCTAGTGTTTTTATTGTATTGATAGATTTGTGTAGTGTGGACTATAATTGTTTACAAAACTTGTTTTAGTGCTATTCTAGAGAATCACTCTAACTTTATAATCCATATTTTTTAGATAATGATGTATTTTTAGAATTTGTTTTTGTTATAATCTATATTTTTAGATTATGCGGTACCTTTAGAAGTTTTTGTTATAATTTCATTTTTTAGCTATTAAGGTACGTTTTGAGCGAGTTACACATAAAGAGACAATTATCACGTTTAGATCCCTTCACAAGTTTTGAATGCAATTCGAAAAGACAACACCAAAAGTTTTAGTGCAATAAGAAAGATTAAGATAGCTCCAACAAGAATGTAAATTTAAGAATAAACAAAAAACACTAAAATTGTATTTTATTAAATTTTCTTAGATATACATATATATATATATATATATATATCTTATTATATAAACTATGGTTTTCAAAGTTAATAACTCACGTGATCGTGACACGTGTCAAATCTATCGATCTTAGATTTTGCCATATGTCAAATAAATATTTCCTTTTTAATAATTAAAAAGAAAAAAGATAATTATAAATTTAAATAGTTTTAAATGTAAAAAGTATAAGGAAATTATACCTATATTTTCATAAGAGATTTTGCCATATGGCAAACAAAAATTTGGTTTTAACAAATTAAATATTGTAAAAAGATAATTATAACAAATTTATAAATTTAAAGAGTTTCATAATATAAAAAGATTATTATAAGGAAAGTATATGTATATATAAAGAAATTATGTGTGTATTGTTCATAAAAATAGAAATTATAAAATAATGCTAAACGTTTTATTTATAAGTTACTAACTGTACAAAAACAAGATTTAAAAATAGGATAATTTTTTTAAGGAAATTATATAATTTATTAATGATATAAGAAAAAGGATTGTAAATACTCACCTCTACAGAAAAAATAGATTGTCTCATTCTCACCAAGCAAACTAATTTCTTCAGAGACACCATCATTTCTTTAATTTCATTCTATTAGTAAAGTTTTTCCTCTCTTTTTTTGGTCATAAGTTATTTTTAAGATAATATTAGTAACTAACCTTTGACTAAAAAATAATTAAGGAAATAGCATTGAGTCAAAAAAAAACTTTAGAAACTAATATTTTTCAGCGATGAAATAGCCTTCAAACAAAAGACAAAACATACATGTAATTAGGATGTAAAAAACAAAAAATAAACACTAATAAGAGGAAATCTAAAAATAAAGAAAATCAATACTAGAATTTTGACGACGAAAGAGAGACATCCACCTAGAATCAGAGGAAAAAACAATGTCATTAAATAAAATAGCATATCATACTAAAAGAAATAGGAGTAGCATGTGATTGTTAATGGAAGTAACGATGGTGGTGGTGTATGGTTACGGATATGGTGATAGATTGACTTTAAGAACAACATGAATCATGTAAAAATTATTTATCATTTATTAGAAATATATCATGTCATTTATATATATATATATAATACTTTGAATTACAATGGTTTTCTAAAAATAGGATGTTATATTTAGATCCAAAGAATATATGGCGATGGAGGCAAATTAAGAAATTATGAACAGCGATGGACATAGACTAGAATTGTTGTCGGAAAGAGGTTCGGCTCGATGCTAGAGAAAATAAAGAAGGAGGAGAAATAAGATCAGTTGGAAAAGATGAGAAGAGGCGGTAATGGTGGTGTTGGTGATAAATAGACCAACATTTCTATTAGATGATTTAATAATTAGTATAAAATAACTACAAATTGTGTTTTATATTGTGCGTTATGCATAAGAAATCTATTTAAAATATAATGAAAATGTTGCATTTTCTAAAATTAAAACATATCTGTTTATATAATTTTAGTTAAACTTTATAAAAATAAGTGACAATTTCGACCAGCAACCCGTGCAACGCACAGGTCCATATATAGTATATTATAGTTTATATAATTATTAATTTAGGACATTGATGAGATCTTATGTTTACATAGGATTTTCAAAAAAATTATTATCGAATTGTGTCATTTTTTACACTAGTCCATCCAACTTGGTAGTGAAAAATTTTATTAATTGAAAATTTTTTAGTGTATATAAGTGATAATTTCAAAGTAAATAATTAGAAAAGTTTAATTAGTGAGCTAACCAAAGGCTAAAATCTTTTTTAGCTTTTAAAAGATTGAGACTGATTTGTTACCAAAATTAAAAAAAAAAGTAAAAAACTGAAACGTAGAGAAAGAGAAGGATGAGAGAGAGTGTGGTCATGTGTGAGAGAGAAGAGACTCGATTTAGGGCCACAAATTGGCGCGAATTCGTAGGGAAGAAACACCGAACTCGGCGAAGAAGAAGAAGATGATTATGGCACTCTCTGAATTTTTCATTCACTATTCTCTCTTCCCGTTTTTTTCCGTTTCTTTCACCTCTTTCGATCGAATTTCAGTTTTTTGGTGATCCGATTTCGTTTAATTTCGTTCTGTTTTACCCTAAATCTTGAGTCTCTGTGGAATCATGCAGTTGTTTCGTTTCGATTTTGGGAGATTTGAGTGTTGTTGAATTGTGATTTTGGGGTTTCTCGATGTGTTTGTGTTTAAGGATTGACATAATTTTATGGCTTCCTTGTGTAACAAGTCACTTTCTGTGAAATCTACCCATAGATAGGGTTTCATTTAGCTGAGCATTGGATTTGAAGCTTCCAAATGGTATGTCATTGATACATTTATTTAAAATTTCGTTTATGCAACATCGGGATTAGAAGTCTAAGAGTGGAAGAACAAATGAACAATGAGATGAGAAATTCAGTGACCCTGATCTTAGATTTGTGTTACAGAAAACTTAGATTTTTCGGATAGCACGAGATTAGTTTTGTCAGGCTTATTACTTAGTCGTTAACTCGTTATCCGTATTCACAATGAGTTTGTACTCCTTCAAAAAGTATCTACGTACTGGTTCAGTTACTAAATGTTGTGGATCGTCTATCAAAACGCTAGTTTTTTGTTTGTGAAATTGCAGGGAACTCCAGTTAACATCATTGTAGGCTCTCATGTTTGGATTGAAGACTCCGATGTGGCTTGGATTGATGGTCTGGTTGAAAAGATCAATGGACAAGATGTTGAGGTTCAAGCCACAAATGGAAAAAAGGCGAGTTTAAACATATTTGTGTTTGTATGTATAATTGAAGCATAAAGTACACTGAAGCTGATTTTTCTAAATTATTTGTATGGATAGATCACCGCAAAGTTGTCAAAGATATACCCAAAAGATATGGAAGCACCTGCTGGTGGAGTTGATGACATGACAAAGCTATCTTACTTGCACGAGCCTGGTGTTCTTCAGAACTTAAAGATCAGATATGAACTTAATGAGATTTATGTTAGTACCCAAAATTTTCTTTGCTTTTTTGGACCTTAAGACTATGCTTTTGTTGACAGTCTTCCAACATTGTCGTGACAGACATACACCGGAAATATCCTTATCGCTATTAATCCTTTTCAACGACTGCCGCACATTTATGATGCCCATATGATGCAACAGTATAAGGGAGCACCATTTGGAGAATTAAGTCCTCATGTTTTTGCAGTTGCTGATGTTGCATACAGGTTCTCTTAATAGTCAGCTTTCAACCTTATGATATACTTGAGATATATGTTATCAGCTGAGATGCGATATATACGTACAGGGCAATGATCAACGAGGGAAAAAGCAATTCTATTCTTGTAAGTGGTGAGAGTGGAGCAGGAAAAACTGAAACCACGAAGATGCTTATGAGATACCTTGCTTATCTTGGAGGTCGTGCTGTCACAGAAGGCCGTACAGTTGAACAACAAGTTCTTGAAGTATGATGTTCTAATCGATATGGATTGTCTTTTAAATCCTCCTTTTATGTTTCTGTGATTTTGATTACATTATCACACCCCGTGATAATATGCATGTAACTTCTGCTTGCAGTCAAATCCTGTCCTTGAGGCCTTTGGTAATGCCAAAACTGTCAGGAATAACAATTCCAGGTGAAAAAACTTATGCATAATCCATTGTGTGGTCTTACAAGTTTTTGTTAGAATTTGAGCTGATAGTTAATTTGTTTTCTCACAGTCGGTTTGGTAAATTTGTTGAAATCCAATTTGATAAGCAAGGAAGAATATCTGGAGCTGCAGTAAGGACATATCTACTAGAGAGGTCTCGTGTTTGTCAGATTTCTGATCCCGAGCGCAACTACCACTGTTTTTATCTTCTATGTGCTGCACCACAGGAGGTATCCTCACAGGAACTACTCTTTGTTATTTCTGAATATCATTGAAAACTCTGGGCATAACATAAAAGAACTAGCAGGAGATCGAAAAATACAAGTTGGGTCACCCGAAGACGTTTCATTATCTGAACCAGTCGAAATGCTTCGAACTTGTTGGTATAAGTGATGCTCATGATTATATTGCGACAAGAAGAGCAATGGATATTGTCGGGATGAGCGAAAAGGAACAGGTAAGCTTGTGTATGAAACTAAGTTATCTTCTGATGCAGTTTTGTATTAATTTTGATTTGTCACCCTCTGTATAAATCAACAGGAAGCAATTTTCAGAGTGGTTGCTGCAATTCTGCACATTGGCAACATTGAATTTACCAAGGGAAAAGAAGTGGATTCATCAGTCCCCAAAGATGACAAGTCGAAATTTCATCTTAACACAGTGGCAGAACTTCTCATGTAAGTAAACCTTTTTCCCCCGAGAAGACTTGGTTGTTGTTATCAATACATGCACTAACTAGACGTCTCGTTTTAGGTGCGATGTAAAGGCGCTTGAAGATGCACTGTGTAAACGTGTTATGGTCACACCTGAGGAAGTTATCAAGAGAAGTCTAGATCCACAGAGTGCTTTAATCAGCAGAGATGGTCTAGCTAAGACTATCTATTCTAGATTATTCGATTGGTAAGTGGCTGATTTAATAGGTATATTGTAACACTACACAAGTATTGGTGATTTACAGATTTGATTCTAAGTGAATATCTCTAGTTACTTGCAGGTTGGTAGAAAAGATCAACGTCTCAATTGGCCAAGATGCAAATTCTAAATCACTCATTGGAGTCCTCGATATATACGGTTTCGAGAGCTTTAAAACAAATAGGTAAGGAATGTCTACTACCCCAAAGTTCAGAATTAAGCTTCCGTTAGATTTTTGTGTTTCCTCTGCTAATAGCGAATTCTGCAGTTTTGAACAGTTCTGTATTAATTTCACAAATGAGAAGTTGCAGCAACATTTCAATCAGGTAATTTCTTGATTGTAGTGTGAACCATTTCCCCTGAGGTTCACAGATTAGGCTTTTGGGGTTTACAAGTTTCTGTTGCTGTTTTCAGCACGTTTTCAAGATGGAACAGGAGGAATACACAAAAGAAGCAATAGATTGGAGCTACATTGAATTTGTGGACAATCAAGATGTTCTTGATCTTATTGAAAAGGTCATTGCTCAATATCACATTTTTGTAGGATCTTATTGAAATGACAATGCAATCTAAATATTTTATCGCTCTATCTCTCCCTCTCGAAATTTTCCCATCTGCAGAAACCTGGTGGAATCGTGGCACTCCTTGATGAAGCTTGGTAATATTAGCATCAATAAAATTTCCTTGTGTATTTAACTTTAGCTATGTTATATTATATTAAAACAATGTCTCTTGGTTCTTCAGCATGTTTCCGAAGTCGACCCATGAAACATTTGCCAACAAGCTTTATCAAACTTTTAAGACCCACAAGAGGTTCATCAAGCCAAAACTCTCTCGAACAGATTTTGCAGTTGCCCATTATGCTGGAGAAGTATGTTCTTTTTTCCTTCAAGGAAATTTAACATTGTACAACACAATTTTCTGTCTTATAAGTTTCTTATTAGTACTTTTGTTTTTTTTTTTGGTGGAATATCATTTCAGGTCCAGTATCAGTCTGATCTATTTCTGGACAAAAACAAGGATTATGTTATCCCTGAACATCAAGATTTGTTGGGTGCTTCCAAATGTCCTTTTGTTGTGGGCCTCTTTCCTCCGCTCCCGGAAGAAACATCGAAATCTTCAAAGTTTTCATCCATTGGCTCTCGCTTTAAGGTAAATAGGCTTTATTCTCTTAGAGTATAGAAATGGCAAGGTTGTGTTCAAGCAAATGTAAGAAATAAAATGTGATATCCCGATTGATGCAGATGCAACTCCAGCAACTGATGGAAACATTAAACTCTACCGAGCCTCACTACATCAGATGTGTGAAGCCCAATAACCTTTTGAAGCCTGCCGTATTTGAGAATGTCAACATCATGCAGCAACTCCGGTGTGGTGTAAGTATAGATGAATAATAGTATTACAAATTTTCAATAGTATTACATATTTTCATTTATCGAACAGACATTGTTGGTTTATATTCGTCTAGGGTGTTTTGGAAGCGATCAGAATCAGTTGTGCGGGGTATCCCACTCGTAAACCTTTCTTTGAGTTCATTAACCGTTTTGGACTTCTATATCCTCGAGCTCTAGAAGGGAAGTAAGTGAAACCTTTCGCTTTGTTGATCCAATTGTAACAACTATCTTGGAACTAAATAGTGTGTGTACTGACTTGTTCCTGAACAGCTACGAGGAGAAGGCTGCATCGCAAAAGATCTTGGACAATATTGGACTCAAAGGATACCAGGTATTGATTCTAAGTGTCTTTGTATTCGTTCAACCATTATCTAATACTAATGATGCCATAGAATATGGTAAAATGATCGAATAGTGCAACTGAAATGTATAAAATACGTTGGGTAATGCAGGTTGGTAAAACTAAGGTATTTTTAAGGGCGGGCCAGATGGCTGAACTCGACGCGAGAAGAACTCTGGTTCTTAGTGCTGCTGCCAAAAAAATTCAGAGACGAATACGGACTCATCAGGCCCAAAAACGGTTCATTTTACTAAGAAAAGCCACCATATCTCTCCAAGCTTTATGCAGAGGTGAACCATCTGATTCATCTCATACTCTCTTAATCCCTATCTTGCGTAGTATCCCCTGGCTAGAATTTAGAAACATAAAAATTTCTCATAGTTCATGAATGAATAGTCTAGACATAAGATGATTAATAAGTTTCTCTTCTTTGTGAAAATTATAGGAAGACTTTCATCCAAACTTTACGAGAACTTGAGAAGACAAGCTGCTGCTGTGAAGATTCAGAAGAATGCTCGGAGATTACATTCTAGAAAATCATACAAAAACCTCCATGTAGCGGCGCTTGTTGTACAAACAGGTTTAAGAGCAATGGCTGCTCATAAACAATTCAGATTCAGGAAGCAAACAAAGGCTGCTACAACTATTCAGGTTTGTATTTCTGTGGGAAATATACATTGGTCAGCTTATCTAATTGTCGAGCTAGCTTTGTTTTGGCAGTTTTGCTTACTAACGCATTAATTCATGTTATAATCTGCAGGCTCAGTTGCGGTGTCACAGAGCAACCATGTACTACAAGAAGCTTAAGAAAGGAGTGATCCTGTCTCAGACACGATGGAGAGGCAAACTTGCAAGGAGAGAACTTCGACAGCTCAAAATGGTACGTAGGTGCACTTTGTACATTCACCATGTAATTGCCACTTTTAGGGACTTTGAAGATGAAATAGAGAGTTCCTAATTTTTCTTCCATGTTTTGGCTATAGATAAGGTGCTTGTCATGTATGTGATCTTCTGGTTAACTATCCTAAACATACTCATCAACACTTTTTGTTATCTTCAGGCTTCGAGGGAAACAGGCGCACTGAAAGAGGCAAAGGATATGCTTGAAAAGAAAGTCGAAGAACTCACATACCGTGCACAGTTGGAGAAACGCTCAAGGGTAATTGATACAGAAAATTGATTTTATTGATAAATATATTTGTTTTCGATAGGATGATTTTAAAGCGAACATATAATGGAAATTGTCAGGTTGACCTGGAAGAAGAAAAGAATCAGGAGATAAAGAAACTGCAGAGTTCATTAGAGGAAATGCGGAAGAAAGTAGATGAAACAAATGTGCTTCTTGTTAAGGAACGTGAAGCTGCTAAGAAGGCCATTGAAGAAGCGCCTCCTGTCGTGACAGAAACGCAAGTCTTGGTTGAAGATACCCAAAAGATTGAAGCATTGACAGAAGAAGTGGAGGGTCTTAAGGTACCCCCTCCTTGTCCCAACTTAAATCCCTCAGGGCCAAATCTTGAAGCTAGTTAATAACTGAATTCTTTTAATTTCGCATTCAACGACAATCAGATGGTTTATCCTTTCGCTAGGGTATTTAGATGGTTATTAACATGCCTGAACTCGACTCGGTTAGTGTATTGTTACAAAAGAATGTATGGAGCATTAGTAATCATTTGTGTTTCAACAGGCTAATCTTGAACACGAGAAACAAAGGGCCGATGATGCAGCAAGGAAATTTGATGAAGCTCAAGAGTCTAACGAGGACAGAAAGAAAAAGTTGGAAGAAACAGAGAAAAAAGCTCAGCAGCTCCAAGAGTCTGTGACAAGGTAAGACGATATCAAATCATTACTTTCTTAATAGTAGGAAGTAAATGAAGGTATAGATCTGGCCACATATATTAATGTAAACTCATGACACTGTTGATCTAAAAGTTGTAATCATAATGATCAGGTTGGAGGAAAAATGTAACAATTTAGAATCAGAGAATAAAGTGTTACGACAACAAGCTGTGTCCATTGCACCAAATAAGTTTCTCTCTGGCCGGTCCAGGTCGATTTTACAGGTACGGATATATATACTAAGAAAACTGTTGGCCTCCATTTGTTTTTTTTTCTATCTGAAGTTAATGACTTCCCATCTGTTCATAAAACCAAAACAGAGAGGTTCAGAGAGTGGTCATCTATCAGTTGATGCAAGGCCAAGTTTGGTAAGTACCTCGATATGCCTGGTAAATATCGTCTTGAATGTTTCTGTTGGATTCTTTTAATCGTGTCATTCTTCTATTTGGGTTTTATTTAATTTGAATCAGGATCTGCATAGCCATTCAATTAACCGTAGGGATCTCTCTGAAGTGGACGATAAGCCACAGAAATCACTAAACGAGAAGCAGCAAGAAAACCAAGAGCTGCTTATTCGTTGCATTGTTCAACACTTGGGTTTCCAAGGGAAACGACCTGTTACAGCATGTATCATATACAAATGCTTATTGCAATGGCGGTCATTTGAAGTTGAAAGAACTAGTGTCTTTGATAGGATCATTCAGACAATAGGACAAGCAATTGAGGTTCGTTTGAGCTACTATACTATGGAAGGATACAAAAATGAAAGTTATGGATTTTGGATTCAGTTGACTTATTAGTCATTGTTGCATTTGTTTCTTATTCAGACGCAAGATAACAACAATATACTAGCATACTGGTTATCCAATGCCTCAACATTGCTTTTACTCCTCCAACGCACGCTTAAAGCTAGTGGAGCAGCAGGAATGGCTCCACAGCGCCGTCGCTCATCTTCTGCCACTCTCTTTGGGAGGATGACTCAGGTTTGTGTGTAACCTACTAATATATATATCAGATTCATCACAAGTTTTAACTTGTCAATGTCAATCTTTCTCTAGAGCTTTCGTGGCACACCTCAAGGTGTGAATCTTGCCATGATAAATGGTGGAGTGGATACCTTAAGGCAAGTTGAGGCGAAATACCCAGCTCTACTCTTCAAGCAACAGCTAACAGCTTATGTTGAGAAAATATACGGAATGATTCGTGATAACTTGAAGAAAGAGATTTCTCCACTCCTTGGATTGTGCATTCAGGTATATATGGCAACACACTGGCATACATCGTCTACATGAACAAGCAATGGCGTTCACTGAGTTAAATCTTTTTTTGTTGGACATATAAAAATAGGCACCAAGAACATCAAGAGCAAGTTTAGTGAAAGGGGCATCTCGTTCTGTTGGCAACACCGCAGCACAGCAAGCATTGATCGCCCATTGGCAAGGAATTGTCAAGAGCCTTACGAACTTCCTCAACAATCTGAAATCGAACCACGTGAGTCCCTAATCTAGAAATGTTATAAAAAAAAAAAAAAAAAAAAATTTTTGAGAGATACCAAGACTTCAAATCATTTCATTGACTGTTTTTCTTAGGTTCCTCCATTCTTGGTCCGGAAGGTGTTCACGCAGATCTTCTCATTCATCAATGTTCAACTGTTTAATAGGTTCGACTGTTGATTACTAGCTCATCCTTATTTGATGTCTCAAAAATTGCCTTGTTGTATTAACTAATAGCGCATTCCCATATCGTCCTTACAGTCTTTTGTTAAGACGGGAGTGTTGTTCATTTAGCAATGGGGAATACGTAAAAGCAGGATTAGCTGAATTGGAGCACTGGTGTTACAATGCAACAGATGAATATGCGGGTTCTTCTTGGGATGAGCTGAAGCATATCAGACAGGCCATCGGGTTTCTGGTACATTTCATGATTTGCTTGTAAACCTCAGAGTCAGTCTCTGTCAGGGTTTATCAAATTGCAGTAATTTATTGTTGTAATATAATGCAGGTCATTCACCAAAAACCGAAAAAAACCTTGGACGAGATAAGTCATGAGCTGTGTCCGGTAAGTGAATGAATTGTTTGATCTTTAGAAAGTAAGTAAGTGTGGAGTAGTTTGAAATATGAGTTGATATTGCAGGTGCTCAGCATTCAACAACTATACCGAATAAGTACGATGTATTGGGACGACAAGTACGGAACTCACAGTGTATCCCCAGACGTAAGTTTGGAATCTGTTTTGATTTATATGATGATGAAGGAAAGATACCAATCTTCGGTGTATCTTATATGATAGGTGATAGCAAATATGAGAGTACTAATGACAGAAGATTCAAACAATGCTGTTAGCAACTCTTTTCTCTTGGATGACGATTCGAGGTGAATACTCTCACTCATGTATCCAACCCAATATTTTGATTTCCTTTTGTTAAATATGTATAATAAAGTATGGATTTTGTATTTGTTGGTTGGCAGCATTCCTTTCTCGGTTGATGATTTGTCGAAATCGATGGAGCGGATAGAGATCGGAGATGTAGAACCACCGCCTCTCATCCGAGAGAATTCTGGTTTTAGCTTTCTATTGCCATGTTCTGACTAATAAAAGATAAATTGGTTCAATAAGTTTACACCACCACTGTGTAGTTGTAATAATCCTTCTCTTTTGAATAGAGGTGTCAATAAGTTCAACTTTGATTATATACTAAGAATACAAACTTTTTGAAGCTAACCTGGTCTAGTCAGAAATTATACCCTGCCACTTTTTTGTTTTGTTTGCAACATATATTTCGGATCATCTGCATTGATATGAATTGCAAAGTTAATGTGCTGCAAAACATTTAAACAAATATATAATATGCCTTTATAAAGAAAGATGTTAAAAATAGTAAAAAAAAAAAATAAGTTTACCACTACCAAAATAAGTTTGCCATCACTGCAAACATAAGTTTACTACAAATATGAGTCATACACAATCAAGCAACAGGAGGCGCTTCTTTAATCTTGCAGTTGCACTAAACTTGGAACATAAGAAGAGCTCACAAGTTTGCAAGGTTTCTGCTGTGAATTCGAAACTAGTCCGATGTTGACAGATTTGAAGTATCCACCATCTCCAACGATGCAAGCTCTATGGTAGCGACCTGTCTCGGTTCTTCTATATGTGTCTATAAAATCAAAAATCACAGCGACCTTCTTCTCCTCATCGATGAAGAAGCTCGTAGCATAAAAGTAAATTGGAAAATGATTCGGTAAACCATTGATTAGTGTCGTATCAATTGTCAAAAAAGTTTTCCACGATACCGCATTGGGTTCAATCTTAGTCGAAATCCAAATCTCTATTGTCTCCAATTTGTCATAGTGGTTGTATAACACAGCGAGCTTCTCATCTCTAACCCAAGATAGAGTCAAATATTTAAAAATATAAGAGGGAGGTTTAAACGGCAGAGGCAAACGCGGTCCAAATCTTTCTATTGTGAAATCAAAACAGAGTAAATAATATTCAGTGTATGTTACCTCTCGACCGAAAAAGTAAGTATTTCCCTTCAAAGACACGCCACTGTGAAACAACAGTTTATCCAAATAAGGATAATTAACATCAAGAACCCTCCATGAATCATAACTAAAATCGTAGACATCAATGTCTTTTCTTGGACCGCCTTTGTTTCGATCGTCATTATAAAGAAACGTTAAGATTTTGTAGTTACGGTTGTTGTCGTATCCGAGAGCAAATTTGTCATATTCATGGAATTTGTTTCTCACTTGAATCCATTTCGTTTGCCCTAAATACGGATTCCATACCATAAGACTCGAGCTGTCTTTGACGATGCATAACAATAAGCCATCGCAGTGATAGACTTGAGATATCTCGACTTGATCATCAGTATTAGGTATACTTATTTGCTTCATAGATAGATCAATCAAATCTTCTTCGCTACGGATTCCTTGAAGATCTAATCTCAAGGAACAAACCCTAGAATCTATAATCATGAACTCAAGGAACTGATTCTTGGCTGCTACTTTTGTACCAACGATGATATCTTTCGATATAGCGATCCACTTTTTACAAGTAGACCGCACTGCACTTAGAGATGTCAATGGAACCCTAGAAAATATCTCTCTTACCAAATCATCTAATAGATCGGTTGCTGTCGTCATACTTCAAGTTTTCAGCTTTCTCCACAGATGTGTGCCATGTTTTTCAATCTGCTGCTGCCTTTTAATGTGTCAATGACGAATTCGATCGGTACCCTAATACGTGTAAATAACGTTTTGCTTCGGCCCAGGTTGTTTAAACGGGCCTTTTCATATAATTTAATGTAATAAAAAAGGAAAAAGTGTCTTAATCCAAATATAAGAAAAAAAAAATATATATATATATATATATATCTTATTATATAAAGTATGGTTTTCAAAGTTAATAACTCACGAGATCGTGACACGTATGAAATATTTCGATCTCAGATTTTGCCATGTGTCAAATAAATTTTTCTTATTACGAAAAAAAGTAAAAAAATTATTATAAGAAAATTATAAATGTAAACAGTTTTAAAATGTAAAAAGCTGATTATAAGGAAATTGTAAATATGTTTCAATAAAAGATTTTGCCATCAAGCAACCAAAATTTTTGTTTTTAACAACTTAAAAATTGTTAAAACATAATTATAACGAAATTATAAATTTAAACAGTTAGATCATAGTAAGAAAACTATATGTATATATAAAGAAATTATATGTATATTTACCCCAAAAAAAAACTAAATTATAAAATTATGCTAAATATTTTATTTATAAGTTAATAATTGTACAAGAAAAAAAAATAAAATAGAAAAAGGATTAAGTAAATTATACAAGAAGTTATTATTCCTATAAGAAAAAGATTGTAAATAATCACCTTTATATAAACAATAAGCTATCTCATATTTTTTCACCAAGCAAACTAATTTTTTTACACACCATCGTTGTTTTAACTTCTTTCTATTGGTAAAACTTTTTTTTTGGTTATAAAGTATTTTTAGGATAATATAAGTAACTAACATTTGACTCAAAAATAATTAAAGAAATAGCCATGAGTTCAAAAAAGTTCTGGAAACTAATGTTTTTCAGATATGTGAAAATTCAAAATGGCTATCAAATAAAAAACAAACATACAAATACGTATTCTAATTTAGAGAAAAAAAAACATGAAATAAATACTAATAACACGAAAAATCTGGGGAAAAAAATAAATATTAGAATTTTGGCGATGGAATAGAGGCATCTAACAATGTCATTTAATAAAATAGCATGTCATACTGAAAGAAATAGGAGTAGCATATGATTGTTATGAAGGTGATGATGGTGATGGTTGATGATTACGGAGGTGGTGATTAGGTGATTTATAAAAATAATATGATCATGTAAAAATTACATGCATTTATCATTTGTTGTATAAATATCATGTCAATTTATAAAAACAAACACTGTGAATCATGATGGTTTTTTAAAAATAGCATGTGATATTCAGACCCAAAGAATATATGGTAATAGAGGCAAATTAAGAATTATGAACGGCGATGGACATAGATTAGAGTTGTTGTCGTAGAGGCTTGGCCTGATGTCGGAAAATATAAAAAAAGTGGAGTAACAAGAGAAGTTGGGGAAAGGGGAGAAGAAGCGATAACAGTGTGTTGGTGTTGATGGCGGTGGTTCAAGCTTGGTAGTGGTGGTGGCGATAAATGTTGATGAAGGTGGTGGATCAAATTTAGCGAGATTCGGTATTGATGGTGGTGGTGATTGTGATAGTAGTGAGATTCATTTGTGGTGGTGGGTCAGAGTAGTAAGACTCGGTGGTGATGTCCGAAGAAGGGGAGAAATGGATATATGGGGAAAAATAGGGAGAGATTGAGAAAGAAAGAGGAGTTTAAACAAAAATAAAAAAAAATCTAATAAAAGAAATATAGAGATTTGAGAATTTCTCGCCGACGAGCGGAAGGAATAAAGAGAAAACGAAGAAATGGATAATATGAGCCAAAAATTGACAATGCCACGTAACTATATAATTTCATCTTTTCTTATTGTCACAGTTTTTTTCCATCTTGCCCACATTGAAATTATAAGGTGTAATACACTCTTCCGATGGATGTAAATAATTTATTAAAATTCAATAATACAACCTATAAATATTTATGACTTCATAATTTATAATAAGCAAAAAATTATATAATTTTATTAATAGGTCAATATTTATATTAGATGATTTAATAATTAGTATAATATAACTACAAATAGTGTTTTATACTGTGCTATATACATTGTAAATTTATATTTAAAAATAATTAAAATGCTGCATTATCTAAAATTATATATTTTGCATTATCTAAAGTATATATTTATAGAATTTTAGTTATGTTTATAAAAATAAAATTAAAAGTTAAGAATAATAATTTTGACCGGCAACCCGTGCAACGCACGGGTCCATATCTAGTATATATATATATATATATCACCAAAATATGGAGTAACTAGGATAATTTAGTTAAACAAAACAAAAAATACATATTTTTGTGTTAGTAGCGTATTTTTGGTAAAAATATTCGATCCGAACTAAAAATTTCGCTTCTATTTAATTTAGTTTTCCTTTCAAATATCCAAACTAATATAGACCGAGAGAGAATCGAACCAAACCCGAGTCAAAATTTAAATTATTTGAATGGATCCTAAAATCTCTTAACCAAACAAAACCGATCTGAACCCGAACACAGGTATCCTAATGCTCAATGCTAATGTCTTAGACCATCTCTAATGCACATCTCTATAATTTCCTCTATTTTAGAGAAGATTTTGCTCCAATGTATGCCTCTAAAATAGAGTTTCCTCTAAAATAGAAGATAGAGACATTATATAGAGTAATCCAATGTCTCTCTCCTCTATTTTAGAGGAAACTCTATTTTAGAGACATACATTGGAGCAAAATCTCCTCTAAAATAGAGGAAAATTTATAGATGTACATTGGAGATGTTCTTAGGCTTAAAACATTTCCGAGTCCGCCACTAAAAAAAAAAAAAAAAAGAAGCCATTGTTGAATAACATTGGGTGTAAACCTTATGTACACGAGTGATTTTCATCCCAGTGATTCGTTTTTTCCCTTCCGCCTTGTTCATGACATGCACTAAAGCTTTTGCGCATAACATCCACGAAACTGGCCAAGATTTCGAAATTTACTGTATCAGATTTTGGTTATGTGGTATCATTGCTCTACTTATGGAATTTCAGATTGGTTATCCTTTTCCTCTTCTTTTTTTTGAATCTAATGTTAAATTATATTCAAAAGAAAAAATATTCGTTTGTACAACTAGTGCGACATTTCGCTGAAAATAAATCAAAGATATAATTTAGAACTGAGTTGCTAAAACAGTCTTCTTAAGTTCGGGAGTTGATCCAAGCTTGGTAGGCTTCGTCGTATCTCCTGTCTCCTAGTAGACGAATTGCCGAAATCTGATTCCTTATTTGCTTATCAATCCACCCCGTGATCTGTTCCGCCGTTTGTGGGTTTTCATCATGTTTTCTTCCATTCCTTTCTCTCCAGATCGTGTAAACCACCAAAAAACTACGTCATTGGAGAATTAAACTGTTATCCTATCGGACTCACAAGAAATCCTCAACCATTGAGCTACAATAATAGTCCCTTTTCCTCTTCGTATCTTCGTCATATGATATCAATGGTGTTTTTACTTTTTTATCGTTTTCTGTTTTGAACCAAACTCTGGTCTCTTGTTCTGTTATGTGACGATGAAAAAAAAAAAAAACATTCGGATGTTGCCAAAGTCGTCATCCTAACTAAACCAATATAGCATACCGAATACTTTCTTGCTTTTGTTTTTATCTAATTAAATACTAAAAAATTACTGTAACTGTTGAACAACCTCTAGTCTCTTTAATATGTCTCTTATTAATTCAACGTTATAGGTGAGGAAGGTAAGATGTTGGTAAAAGTCATGCATAGAAACAACTTCACAACACAACAAATTTGAATATAAAATGGTATTTATATATAATACATGTTGGTGGATTAGTATTACTAAACACAAAGTTGTAAATCAATGGGAGAACAACAAAAAGTTCACCCGGTTCTTCAAATGGAAGCCAACAAGACGAAGACAACAACACCAGCTCCCGGAAAGACAGACTTGCTTCCGGTTCAACGGCCGATTCCGCCTCCTGTTATGCCTAGTAAGAATCGAAATATGTGCTGCAAAATCTTTTGTTGGGTGTTAAGCCTTCTAGTTATTGCATTGATCGCGTTAGGGATTGCGGTTGCGGTTGTATACTTTGTATTCCACCCTAAACTCCCGCGATACGAGGTCAATAGTTTACGAGTTACCAACCTTGGAATCAATCTAGACCTCTCTCTTTCCGCGGAGTTCAGAGTCGAGATCACAGCTCGTAATCCAAACAAAAAGATTGGGATTTATTACGAGAAAGGAGGCCATATAGGTGTATGGTACGACAAGACAAAGCTATGCGAGGGCCCTATACCGAAGTTTTATCAAGGGCATCGTAATGTGACTAAACTAAATGTCGCTTTAACGGGAAGAGCGCAATACGGGAACACTGTCTTGGCGGCATTGCAGCAGCAGCAACAGACCGGACGTGTGCCGTTAGATCTCAAAGTCGATGCACCTGTTGCCGTAAAACTCGGGAAATTGAAGATGAAGAAGATTCGGATATTGGGGAATTGTAAACTTGTTGTTGATAGTTTATCAACAAACAATAATATCAACATCAAAGCTAGTGATTGCAGTTTTAAGGCCAAACTTTGAGATGTTCTTAGTTCTAGGCTTCTACTGTTTATTGGTGTTACTCATTTCATCATTTTCGTAGACATTTGATTAATATTTTGAAATTCTGGTTTTATGCTCAATAAAATTTGAAAAATTTGAAAATTCTGAGAGATTTGGAAATTCCAAAATGTGTGATCACATCTATAGTATTTTGTGACAAAACATGAAAACGAAAAATAAAATGGTTTACAATTTTATAAACCTATGACAAATTATGATAATTGAAATATTAAAGGGAAAAAAATAGTCAGCTACACAAGGTATAACGGAATACATGACCAAAATTAAAACGATCTCCAAGTTAATTAATCCCAGGTAAAAAAAAAAATTTAGAAGAAATTACAATGTAATCTTTTTTCAATCAACAACATTACTTAGAATTTCAAAATCAAATATAACGTTAACCAAATTATAAATCAGATTTTCCCAAAAGAAAAAATAAAATCCCTAAAAGCTTAAAAATTATCATCACTTGCCTTGTTCAGATTCATGAAGAACAGCTTTCATAATCAAACCATCATTATGCACAACCATAATCACCGGAGAGTTTCCGATTCCTCTAGCCATTGCCGTCAAAATCTCTGCAATCAAATCCCTAAATTTCTCTGGAACCAAATCTTCACCAAATCTCTCGAAAATCGCATTGTACACGTTATCGGTCTCTTCTTCAGGAGCGACTTCAGATTCCACAGCCACAACATGGTTGAGACCTTGACGGAGCTCTGACAGAGACAACATTCCGTTTTTGTCTAGATCTAGAATATGGAAATAGTCGTCGGTTATGGATTCGAATGATTTGGTGTCGGAGATGAATCCGATGAGAGTTTTGCTTGTGAATACAGTTTCGATCATTTTAGAATTCATGAAGATTGATCGAATTTGTGTTTTGAGATCTGAATTTGGAAAAAAGTCTCTTTGAAAATTTTGTTTTTCGTTATTGTTTGGTTAAATGGTGGTATAAGATTCGATAACGTAGTAATATGTTGCGTGCATGTTTTGCCACAGAGAATATAAGCTACCTTTTTTAAATATGAGTTCTTTTTTTTTGGTTTTGTTTTTGTTTTTTGTTGTTGCTTTTATTTTTAAGCTTGAATATGTCATGATTTGAATGTTAATCTTCTGATAATTATGACATGTCTTCACATTTACAGATTTGTTTGCATATCCATCTATTTTCTTAGAAGATTTTGTATAAATTAGTTAAAATGATTTTGTTATAGGTTGGGTATAATTATGAACTCTTTAACTACTAGCTTACAAAATATTTTGATATTTATGTTGGTCAAAGTTTTACAATACACAAAAGCAGAGAGATTAAATGTCATCATTAATGGTGTCAAATTTGAACTCTGTCCCTTTTAGATTCTTAATTGCCTTCATTTCCGGTTTCTCTAGAGGTTTATGGTATAAGTATAACCGTATAAGGACAGTTATGGTGTGTTTACAGAGTAAGAAACTGTACCGTCTAACAAGAGATTGGTTCTATTTTGTATTATGACAATGATTTACAATGGCCTCAAAAGTGGGTAATCTTCAAGTAGTTCCCTTTCTGACAATGCGTCTGCCTCGTTCTGCGGTGTCCATAGTACTTCTACAGCCTGCAACATTTTTGGTTTTACATCTTTCATTTACTAGAGGGTACCCTTTACTAGACTAAACCTTTCCCATGAATATGTAACTTACTGGTACAGAGTCTCTTACCATTATTTTGTTTCTTGGTATTGACCCGAGTCTCAGTAAGGCTTCCTTCAGATCTGTAGTTCCGTTTATTGGCGGCAGTTTATGTATACCCTCTGCAGCCACCAAGATGGTTACCTGAACATGTTACAACACTTTCCTGTTAAACAATTACCAAAACCAAAGCAAAACAAATACATATTTCTTTAATTAATTTGACACAGCCTTTAACTTCCGGGCAACCTTTTTGCAAATCCTTCACTGCTTTTAACATCATTTTTAAAACCTCATGAAATTTCTTTGGCGGGCACAACCTTCTAGACCTAGGTTAACTGTGTTTCCCTACCCACTAAACGTTCAACTCCGAGTTTTAATAAGTTTACCACAATATATTCATTGCTGAAACCGCTAGCTTTCTTAATCTTTGAGCTTTGTCTCTTTATGCTATTCACGTTAACAAGTGTTTCCTCATCAAATTTTCCTCGTTCTTCAATGGAGAGTTGGTTAAATCGCTTCTCTCCTTTTTCTATACTCGGCTTCACATCCACCTGAAAGAAAATGATACAAACAGAGTGGTTAGGTTCTGCATCCATGATCGCTCAATGATCCTAGAATTACTAGCTCAGGTAATGAACCAGGCTAAAATGGTGAATATAATACAAAGCATGCAAAAAAATCACTTCAGAACCAGTAGACATACTGATGAATAACAAGAGATGCAATAGTCCGGGTGCCTCAGCAAAGCCAATGTTGCCTCTGTAAGACACAGAAAAATGAGTGGCAGGAAAAACATTAAAACCACGCATATCACAGGAAAAGAAGAAGCATTATTGAAGCAAAAGCAAGCAGGTTAGAAAGGAAATTTAAATCCCGGAACATTACGAACGGAGTACATAATATTGAAAGCCAAAATAAATGAGTTGGTATGCAAGCAAAGATAATAAGTCTTTTATACAAGTCACCATTTTTCATCAACAGCTGTAACTTTTATTTTAGCATCTATCATGGAACTGGCTACCTTAAGCTTTTACATAGAGTAAGCATGTTGACTCAAGATAAGAAGATAATCAGTAAAGCAATTCAGATTAACATTTTTCAATCAAATCTAGCAACACCAAAATTTAATTAATCCCAAATGGTTACCCAATGCCATTTAAATAGCTTTTAAAATGAGCTACTTCTAATAGATGGCCCTATCTCACAGGTTTTCATATTATTAGAGTTTAAGAACACATTCGGCAGAACCACACAAAACAAAATAGTGCCACAGGTAATTCACTCAAAGCAGCAATAAAAATACACATCTTCTTTCTAAAAACAAATGAAAAAGTCTTGAACATTGTTCATATATCATGAATAAGATCCATCGAAGAATAGGCTACCGGTTAACACATAGCTCAGACCCTCCGGTGTGGATGTATCCGCACTTTCAGCAAGACGATTAAAATCTTGCTGTAGAGTCCTCCCCAAACCCAGCAACCCCACCTAAGACATAAGCAAATTCTCAATCTCATGTTCTTTCCATATGTAAATTATACTAATGAACAAATAGCATTCCTAGAATATAACAAAGCTAAGCTATGGAGAAACCGTAGCTTCACCTGTAGCTTAATGACGCTAGTTTTCTGAGTATCGGTTAAAATGCTATCGTCCTGTGACCGATCTGAGAGGAATCCAGAGACCAAAACAAACGCAGCGAAACCAACCAGAATCAAAGAAAAGCTCGAAAATCCACCAAACCCAAAACCAACCGCCGGACCCATTAAACCCCCACCGAATGGTGACGGTCCATAGTACGGAGCGGTCCTAGCAGAGTACGAAAAGCTCGGACTCGATGTTCTCGGCACAGAATACGATTGAGAAGAAGAAGAAGAGCTTCGAGACCTCGACGAGAAGGAATTACCACCAATTCTACCACCAGACGCAGCTAAAGCCGAATTAGGATCATAGAACAGAAGCAAACCAAGCAAAACAGCAGCTATAGCAGGTTTCTTCAACGAATCTAACGCTTTCTTGACCTGAATCGCGATTTGTTCAAATGGATTCGAATTGGATCGCAAATCTGAATCTGAATTCGTCGATTGTTTATATTTGACGGAGATTTGGAGACGAATCGAATTTGATCTCTGTTGAGGTTTGGCGTAGAGAAGAACACTACGATGATGGGGTCGTTTCATGTATGGAAGAGGTTGATTCCATTGAAATGGAGTTAATTCCAGAAAGGTAGAAGAAGATGCCATGAACGATTGTTGGTTGATTTCTGGAGAAATTGATCGCTAGGGTTTATGTGGTGAACATTTGGGGAAGAAGACGACAGATAATGTCAGAAATATTTGGAGGGAGATTATTTTCCAGTGGATAATGGTTTTCCAATCGGTTTATGCCTCAAACCGGTTTATTATAAGTACCGACATTTGAAATGAGTCTAATACAATTTTTTTTTTTTCATCTCATTTGATTTATAAAACATCCGAATGATACATCGTGAGATTACATATGTCGAGCCAACGATGACTACCAAGACATCGAGGATGCTAAAGGAAAGGCGATTCCCGAAGCTTCATACCACCAAGCCTAAACCGGGTTCCCAAACGTCGAGCCAACGACGTTAAACAAGCGCGCTTAGTGGGAGGCAACCCACTCATAAGTTTTTCAATTTCATATTAGTTTTATTTTACTTTACTTTTAGTGTTTTTCGTATTTGCAATTTCAGATCTTTCATAAAAACCATAAAAACAAAATAGAAAAGAAGAAAATCAGAAAATCAGAAAAAGAAGGAGGTCCGTCAACCCAGACCGGTCACGACCCCTCGTGACCGGTGCCACCACCACACGCCGGACCGACCATGACCCCATGTGACCGGTGTGACCATGAGCCCACAGAACGGTCACGTCCCCTTGTCACCAGTGCCGTCCCTGATTCCGAGCCCGACCGTACCGACCGTACAACACCGTCCATCGACCCGCGGTACCGTACCGGATGTCCCGCGGACTGACCCATCAAACCCGTGGACCGTCCCGCGGAATGACCCAACCGTCTCGCACCGTCCCACAACCGTACCGCATTGCACCTCCACGTCCGTTCTTCAATTCTGTCCGACCAAATGATCTAGGATTTAATATTTACCGATAAATTGGATATTTCATGAGTAATGATCGAGACAGAATCTTGAAAGAACAAGCCATTTGCGAGATATCACTATCCAGCCCATACGAGCCGTACCAAACGACGAAAGTCGACATGATCAGAATCTCCCAAGATTCGAAATTTATAGACAATATGCTTATTCCAGAGCATATGGTCGAGAAAAAAGTGCTCGAGATCGGACTAGATTGGAAGATATGACGATTGCAACACCAAAAGAGCCGTCACCGTACCATTGATCCCAACTTTGTATAATTGACTTGAGAAGAGAAATTCATCCGGAAATTAGCTAATCCGAAGAGAATGGTCGAGAAAAACAAGTAATGAATTGGAGTGGATTGGAAGATATGACATAGAGGTATGTCAAATACTTATTACTAACCGATTGAAGTTTAAATGTCAGGAACTACTTTGGATCAAATTTCCATAAGTAAGGTGTCCATTCCGGAGACAATGACCAAGAGAAAAACAACAGTTCCCAGGGTAGATTGGAAGATGTCCGAAGCAACTTTTCACCGTGCCATACCCAGAACACGTGATTTCAAAGTCAAGAAACTTCACCGTACTCAAATCCGTAGGTAATATGTATATTTCAAAGTTGTAGTACTATAGGTGTCAATCCAATCTAGTGTGATACAAACAGATGAGATATGATCAGATTTCACTAAGTCAAGCCAAGCAGAGAGTTGTTGTTTTCTAATAATCCTAATGCAAATAGAAAGAAACTAAAATGCGAAATGGCAATAGCAAGCAAGAGAATAACTAAGCAGGCAAGATAACAGGTAATCAAATGGATAAGAGATTCCTAAGGATGGGGTAATCGAGTAGCGTGGTCTCCTTAATCTATTTAGACGGTTGACAAAACTTCAAAGAAGCTATCCCTAGACAACAAGTTCAAAAGCAAATCAATTCACTATCGTGATAGAAATCCTCAAGTAGAGCTAGACTCAGACCTAATCACCAGTAGCGACATCTAACAAAGCAGGTACTAACGAATCAACTTGTTAAAGCCAATACCCGCTCTAAACGGCCAATACCTTGGGATAAAGACGAGTATCTCTGGAATTAGTGGATCAGACATTCCATCAAACACCTTTTGGGTGCGGGAATGTCTGGACTCATATTCCAGTTGATCAGAAAGGAACAAGCAATAAGCGCAACTAATCCAGAAGGGATTCAAACAATCTAAACTCAACCATCTAAAAAGACTAAGGCAACCACGACTACTCTATCCCATCCTCAGAAACACTAGTCACTACTCAGACAACATCAAAGGCAATAACAGATAAACGAATGAAAACATCATGACAGAAAGATTAAAGGATAAACGAAATGAAAACGTAAACGAAATCTGAATAACTTCGAAACGGAAATACAAAGTCGCCAGAGCGTACTGCGGCTGCTAAAGTTTAAGGTAAAAACAAGCTTAGAAAAAAAAGAGTGATCCTTTAGGGCAAACCCTTAGAGGCTATTTATAAAAACGAAACAAAACAAATAAGGAAACTAGATAGTGGTCTTCACATCAGGACCTTGCGATCGAGTATACTGGCAGATCAAATTGGGCTTCAGGGACTCCGCCTTACGATCGAGTGGTTTGAAGTGAAGACAAAATGGAATGGTCCAGCGACCTTGCGATCGAGTGAATGTTGCCAGGTGGTGATCGAGTGGTTGCTTCTTCTCTTCTCTTTCGTATGCTTAGGTTGTCTGGTTGAGTGCAGGATGAGTAGATAGGTCGCCTTGCGATCGAGTGATGATATCTACGGCTCTGCGATAGAGTGGTTTGGTGATGATATTTGTGGCTCTGCGATAAAGTGGTTTGGTGATGATATCTCCGGCTGTGCGATAGAGTGGTGATATCTCTGGCTCTGCGATAGAGTGGCGATCGAGTGAAACCGAGCTGCTGGCTTCTCCGGGGTTGTGATCGAGTGGTATGTCCTTCATGACAGTTTCTGCTCGATCTTGAGATCGAGTGCTTCTTCTGAAATGGCTCTGGGTTGTGATCGAGTGGTCTGGTGAAGGTGCGATTGAGCTTCCTGACTTTCTGCTCTGTTTCTCCTCTGTTTGAGCACCAAAAGCATCCAAAGCACCTGAAAACAATCCCCATATGCAATGCACATGCATTCTAATGCAAAATCGTTCTAAGTATGCAAAACACACTAAAACGATTACTAATGAGATGAAATGTGGGTGAAACAATGTAAAAGTGATGAAGAACGAATGCCTAGATCATGCAAATTATAGACATATCATGAAGACTGGAAGAAACAAACCGTGTATGGCAGATGGAAAGAAAAGAAGGACACACTCAGCTACAAAAATCGAAGATCCCATCCAAATCTTCACAAATCAGATGCAACAACAAACTATAACAATGTATGGTTTTTTATTGGCCTTGCAACTTCTTGCATATCAGAACATATCTGGCCTACTGGACAAGATTTCAGGTTCTTCAGACCCCTTGAACCTTCATGGAATGGCATTCAATTCAAGAAAAAACCTTTCGCTAAATGAAGTACATCTCGTTGACCGTGTTCCTGATGTAAGTCATTTCAAACATATATTTAACTTTTTTTTATGTGGATGAGTTCTCATGGTGTTCATTTTTTTATAGTTGTCAGTTACTCCGATGCTTTTTGTTGACCCCCATGAAGATGGTTGGGGAGAGTGGGATGATGAAGTGAGAGACAAGAAAGTTGTTTATTTGGTTGATCAGATAAACAAAGGTCATATGTTCAAAAGGTATGGCCTGGTGGCTATGCTGAGCTAGGTCTGATTTCTGTTACAGAAAAGTAGCCTGTTGTTGTTCACAAGAAGCATATAGTTGTTAGGAAAAGGAAACATTCGCCAACCCCTTATGTCAAGGAAACTCCATCTAAATCCAAGGCGAGTACTTCTAGGCAAGGCAAGAAGCGTAAGTTTGAATTGATTGACGATGCTCAGCCTGATGATATAAAAGAGTGGGTGAATTCAGAGTTCGTTGCGGTGAGACATGAATTAGCAGAGACCATTAAGAAGTTAACAGCACAGAACCTGAAACTTAGTAAAAAATACAGGACACACAAATCTCAGATAGGGCAAAAACTTCATTGTCGCAAATTGTCTCGCTCGATACATGAAAGTTTTCCTCAATCTAAAAATGTACGTCAAGCATCAAAACAATCAGATGTGTCAGTACCTTCGGGAAAACTCCTAAAGATTGTCTATACAGTCGATCACCCCCTATAACTCAATCCAAGTCCTTGCTTCAAAGTGACAATGTTGCTTCACTGGAAGAGGCTATTGTTGTTGATGATAATGCATGGCATCGATATAATCCGGATAAGGTTTGCTGCTCTTTACAAATTTATTGCTCAAATCTCTCCACACCTAAATAAAGATTGCAAAAACGCTTTGCTCTTTACAAATATATAGCTTATATCTTTATTTGAGAAAAACTAATATAAAAAATAATGATTTAACGATAATTATTTAGAATTTTGATAGTATTAAATCTTTATTTTAAAATTTTCATTAAGAACATAGAATGGATGAGCGATGACTTGAATAGATTTTTTAAATTAATAATTCTTATTTGTACGTTCAAAGATTGGTCCCTGGCCAATACATATAGCTAGGTAGTTTTATTTATGGGGCTTGTTCGTTTGATCATCCAAATGCTTCATCTGAATGTTATTAGTTTCATTTCTTGAATGTTCATTTGGATGGAACATTTGAATGAATTTTTGTTTGTTTGATTAGTTTTTATAAATCTTGATCTCCATCTAGATGAGTTTAATAAAATAATGACTAAAATACAAATATTTTTAATATTAATCTTAGCGATAATAATTTAATTGTTGCTTTAAAATATATTTACAACTAAATAAATTTTAAACTATTATTTTAACATATAGAAACTAATTTTACGGTTTTGACGGGAAAACATAATTTTGTTGGTTTGGCGGGAAAAAAGAACTTGAAGTCTTATGCAGTTATATGGTTTTGTTTTTGTCTCCTAGCTCGCCATAATATGGTTTTGGTCTTATATATGTTTTTCTTTTTTTGAAATTTGTCTTATATATGTTTCTTCTAAGAAATTACATTTTGTGTTAGACAATATAGGTGAAGACATTGACACATAGACATAGTTAATGAATGGGTCCTGACTTCTTGTGAAGATTATCACGGGTTTGA